AGATAAAATGCTCCAAAATGTTTCATACAGTTTCAACTTAAAAATATCAGTGTGTTCACAGCCAATGCATTACTAATACATAAAATAAAAAGAAGTTGACAGATACTTAATGGAGCTGCCTACCAATATGAACAACGAACCCCCAATGATTCTCAATGGCTTCAGCATAAATAAGTTCATTCTACTTTGGAATGAACTTTAGTTTGTGGGTATATTGGCAATACCTGCTAGCCTCTACAGATACATATGTTATTATTTACAATGGTCTAGTATTCAGATGTGGTTAGACAGTTACCACAATAATTAAAGTTCTGAGGAAGGGTCGCCAGACCCGAAACGTTAATTCTGTTTTCTCCTTCACAGATGCTGCCAGACCTGCTGAGCTTTTCCAGCAACTTTGTTTTTGTTCCTGATTTACAGCAGCCGCAGTTCTTTTGGTTTTTACCACAATAATTATCATTTCTGACATCATCTGTTCACCTTTCTGAAACAAAAGTAAACATTGCTAGGACCAGTTCTGAGGAAGGGTCACTGGACCTGAAATGTTAACTCTGATTTTTCTTCACAGATGCTGCCAGACCTGCTGAGCTTTTCCAGCAACTTCTGTTTTTGTTTGTTGTCTATGAAACATATACCTTCTTTTCATTGAAGGAAATAATAGCCTAATGTCAATTTTCTTTTAGTTTTAAAACAAATACATTTTCTGCCAACTAGATAACTTTCAGTCAAGTCGCTAGCCCTGAGAGGCCTCTCCGAGGATGTCAATTATAGATAATATCTATAAAAGTAATAAAGCAGATCCATTTAAAACAGCAGAAGGTACGTACGGTACCACGGCATCTGTTTCAAAACTTGTTCAAGATACTCCCCGAATAATGTGACTTGAAGAAATTGTACAGAAAATTTGGAAACTTTGGTTGTTAAGGCACTTTGAAACTGTAGGCTGGACATTTCATGTTTTTGGCATACAAAATAAGGTAGATGTCAAGCCCACTACAGACCCACACTCAAGTTCACTCTTAGATATTTTCTAATCAACCTGTTCAGAGGTGGTATTACATACTCTGGAGGTGGTGGGACTTGAACCCGGGCCTCCTGGTAGGAACTCTAGGTAGGGTGCTGAAATCGGCAAACCGCCCACCATACATAAATAAAAAATTAAGGGTTAGTTGAGCTCATTAAAAATTCAAGTGATGCTATTACCCTACCCACACAGTTATACGATTGGCTTGGGTAGGCAGGCAGGAGTTTTTATAAGTGGTGGAGGGAATGGGGCAATTATTTTCAAAGGGTCTCTATGCACTTTGGGGGCACCCCACTTTCCTAGAAGACAAGACCCTCCATTCCTTCCTCCCCACGTAGAATTTAAAACCCATGCCTCTAATCTTTGCTCCCCTCCTTAAGAACACCAAACACTCCTTGACCAATGGCACCTACTTTTCTGGGTCTAGGGATCCATAGGGCTTTCTTCTTGAGACTTCCCACAGTGCTCACAGTGTCCACAGTTGTGTTCTGGTGCTGCTAGAATGCTGGAGCTGCCATTGGCCAGCAACTAAACAGGGTGTGGCATCTTGCCACCGAAAGGCAGAAGTTCCACTATCTAACAATTTACCCAATGTACAGCACACTACGACTCCAGGACAGGCTTTTCTCAGTCTGTCAGCTAGCCAATGATATTCCTTATGGTGGGGTGAGCTGTCCACCTCCAACCAGCCTTGTAAATCTCTGCCATGTATTTCCCTTCCTCTTTTCCCTTTTGGTATAAAACGTGATTAAATAACGGTCAAAATTTATGTTGGTATTATTATTTCCTTTTCAAAACTACTAGTGTTAATTCTGCCTCAGAAATATTCAACTTGAATGACAAACAGAGCTAATCAAAATAACAATGACAACTTATGTAACTATGATCAAGACCTCAAAGTTTTCTAAAGATATGGGCAACATCTATCGCACCATCCTCCTCCAATAACTCCCTTGGAAGATGCAGAGCTCTATTGTCCATTTAATTGTGACTATCCTCACTTGGTGTCAGTCTTATTAATCCAAATCACAGAGCACCTTCAACAATATCTCACATCCCACTTTGTATCATTATCACTGAACCCCATTAAGAACAATCTATTCTTGCTGGCATCAAATGAACTTCAACTTCAAACATATGCTGATTTGATACCTCAAAATGATATCTCCTTCACTTCTCCTAACTCCTCCACTAGCTCTGTGCTGTGACTTCTTGTCTAACAACCAGTCTTGCTCAGTCAATTGTTAACTTTAGATCCGAGACTGATTTCTGTTGGGTAAATGTATTAAGAGTTTTGGGGGAAAAGCGGGTATATAGAGTTGTATGACAAATCAACCAGAGCTAAAGTGATGGTGACTACATGACAGAGCAGACTTAGGGGAATAAGTAACTATTCCCCTTCCTAAATTCCCAGTTTCCTTCACTATAATGAAACCCCATACCTTTGTCACGGATTCTATTCCGCTTCTCAGTTAGATTGAAAGACATTGTACATAATCACATCTATCCTGGGTTGAATTTCCAATTTCATTTCCTCTCTATCATATAAATTGCTTCCTCCCCTGTTCTCAGCTCCTCTCTCTGCCAGTTTCTGTCAAAACTTTCATTCCTGTATTTGTGATCTGCAGAGTCTACTACTTCAATATTCTACTGACTAGTTTCCACGTTTCACCATTTGTAAACTTCGGCTCATCCAAAACTCTTCCACCCATATTCTGTTGTTCTCATCCACCACTCTTGTCTTTCCTGTATTTCATAAGAACACCATACTCCCATTGAGCCTTCTCTATCATTCAATATCATCATAGTTGATCTTCTGTCGCAACTCTATTTTCTTGCCACTCACCACACCACCCCCCCAAGTTCCTTGATTCTGAGAGATCAAAAACCTATCAATCCCAGCCTTGAACATATTAGTCATGCGGCATCCACAGCTCAATTTGAAATAGAGAAATCCAATGATTCATAACCCTTTGTGTCAAGAAGTCTCTTCTCATTTCAATCCTAAAATATCAATCTGCCAGCCTGAATTTGGGTGCTTTATCCTAAGAATTTGTGCCTTGTCCTAGATTCCTATTCAAACAAATTCATCCCTCAGTATTTACCCTGTCAAGTCCTGTCTGCCTCTACATATTTCAAATAGATCACACCTTAACTTTCTAAATAGAGAATATAGGCCTAACTTGTTCAGCCTCTCAGTTTCTGGTTCCCCAAGTCTAAGATTCTTATCCTCAAGATTAAAGCCCTTCATGAACTTTCCACTTGTCATCTCTAAATTCCTCCAGCCAATCAACTCTCAGCTCACCAGGTCTCAAAACCCCAAACTCTGGTATCTCATGCATCCCCTCTCATTGTAGTGGATCATTCTGTTATGCTATTAGCCTGTGCTATCAGCCATCTCAATTTGAGAAATCCAAAATCCATTCCCAAATCTCTTTAGCTTTGCAACTCTTCTGTGTACTTCCAAAAAAAACACTAAAACCCAATTTCGACAAAGCTTTCGGTTACCCTTCCTCTTAACAAATTAACAATATGGTTTAGTATTCATCCTTGTCTGATTATGTCTGTGTGAAGTGTTTTGAGGGAAGACATTCTTCCTCATCTCAGTCTAAATTGGCATCCTTTAATTCTGAGACTATGCCCTCTTGTCCTCGACTCTCCCATCCTTTAAGCATTTACGCTGTCAAGCCCCCTAAGAATCCTGTATGTTTCAATGAGATCACCTCTCATTTTCTAAATTCCAATGAGTAGAGTGCCTCTGTTTAACCTTTGTTGTAAATCAAACCCTCCATACAGTGATAGTAGGAACTGCCAATGCTGGAGAATCTGAGATAACAAGGTGTACAGCTGGATGAACACAGCAGGCCAAGCAGCATCAGAGGAGCAGGAAAGTTGACGTTTCGGGTCGAGACCCTTCTTCAGAA